ATATTTCTGCGTAGAATCAATTTCTACACAGGCTGATGTCATACTTAGATCCTTTTAGGATATCCTGCATATAATGTTAATTACAGTTTTTCTTAAAGAAGAAAAATTCTCTTACAATGATCTGGAAAAAAAGTGATGTACATGTTATTGGTTTGTTCTACAAAAAGAGCTACTGTGCTTCTCTATGCCTTATTTTATCCATTGTGGCGATTATGGGCTTCATTAGTTGACTCTTACTACTTATTTGAGAAGTAATACTACTCTTTAGTTTCTTTCCTATTTTGACTGGATGCTTCTAGGCACTTTGGATGTTTTATTCTATGTCTTTTGTCAACGGTCTGTAAAACACTTTCCGTATTTTTTCTCCTTGGGGTATCTCAGCGTGTTTAATTAAACACTAGGCTCTTTTGGCAGTTAGCATCACCAAGAGATTGGTGTCTCTTGCCAAAAAACTCTGTGGAAGAATAAATGCTGCAGTGCCCATAAAATTTTGACTGTGGTGTTCTATATAGCACATCACTGTGTGTGCTCACCACTGTTCTGGGTAGACTAGAAATGGCTTAACTGCCTGTGAACTGTCATCCAACCAATCTAACTACAGGATATTTTGTTTGTTTAAAAGGCTGGACTTACTTTCTCAGTGTTTTTAAAGTTTGTATCATGGTTTCAGGGGCTCAGATCATAACTCTTTAGAAATGTGTTTGTATGCATGTTTTTTTTTTTTTTTTAGGAAAACAGGCTTATAATGTCTTCCGATTTTATTGTGTGTTGTTTACTACGAATTGTGATCAATCATCTGGTGAAATATGAAAAATGGGGGAAAGTGGAAGTGCAGCTACAGTATGTGAATGCATACCCTAGCAATGTAACAGAAGCAAGTGTAAAAGTTTAGTAGTGACAACACTAAAGAAAATGCATTCCAGTAGCAACTCCACAGAAATTTTCCATATTCTGGAAAATGAGGATTGTCAGGTAGTTGAAATTGTCAGATAGTGAATAACTGTGATAAATTCAGCAAATGAGAAGTGATCTCTTGGCAAATGATACATGTTGCTGGGAAGATAGAATGAAAATCCACAATTCGAGTAAAAAAAAGCTTTTAACAAACAAACCCTAACAATCTTATCTGTAGTTTCTGCTATTTAAATGTTGATTTCTTTTTTTAACATATTTGAGTTTACATAAAGCAAAACCTTAAATCTTAATTGCCTGTCTTTGTTGCAGAGATGACAAGAAGATGTGATTTTTATTTCATGATAACTTTATAAATTACTAACACCACCTTTGCTATGCACGTGAGCAAACCACAACATATTTGCTGCATTTATTTGTAGAAAAACAGTCTGTTTTTGTTGAGGTGAACACTGATTTGGGATATGAGAGAATCAGACTTGCATCGCTCACTCTGCATAATTCAGTGGAAAAAACGTGTTCATCCTTGAATCCTTAGTCGTAAATACAGACCAAGAAGGAAGGGACACGTTGTTCCTTCCTGTCTAAAAACCCTGCACTAGACTCTTGAACTACTTTCCTGAATATCGCCTTACCAAGAAACAAAGAGCAAACATACTCTAAGACGGTTCTTAAGCCGCCTCTGCCCGTCTGAAGGACAGCCGTAGGTAGGCAACATCATCTGCCCATTGGATTCGTGATGCTTCCCTTGCCTTGGAGGCATTAAAAGTGGGAGAATCACTGATTGTGTGGCCACGCTGGAGGAAGCCGGGTGGATTCCCACCTCTGGTAGCACAGTGGCCATCCCTCAGTTATCAGAGACGCTGGACATGTATTTGGCAGTGGCTTTCATAAGCCTACCACAAGCACTTAACATTTAATCACTTCGCTGAATTATAATATAAATGCTCCATATCTAGTTTGTGTGTAAGGTTTCAGTGAATCTAACTATGCAGAAGGCTTAAAATGCCTGCATTATTCTGCCGCTAGGATCAGTGGGAACAAAGATAATGAGATGTTTTTTATTTACTGAAGCCTTTAGCTCAAGCTGATTTACTTGAAAATAATCAGCAATTTTATTCTGTACTTAAAGAGAAAATGCTTTTATGTCTGTTTTCTGCAAAATATACAAGGTATTTTCAGCACAGGAATTTTAGAGCCTGAAACAAAAGCTGAACTGGAAGTCTTCTTGAGAAGTACCTAGAAGACAGCTTAGCCAGGCAAGGCAGGGGCTAGTTTCATTTTCCCTCTTGTACTTTCCTCTCAATTGTAGTCAACAATATTTTTTATTTTTACTTTTTTTAAGATTGCACTGACAGCTGTTGTTCAGTTTCATGTTATATGTTGTCTGGTTTCACACCTCAGAAGTTCACTAATATAGGAGATTCGCTTATGGTTGCCTCATTTGGCCAACTAAAGAAGGATTTCTGTTGCTGGCATGGTCTTACCATCTTTCTGCATAAATAGATTTCCTCAATTCAAGACATTTTTTTACTATGCATGACTATACTAATGGACTAACGCTTATATTTGAAGTTATTTCCAAAGTCTATACAGCAGTTTTCCTAAAATTAAGGCTTTCACTGGGCCTACAGATAGATTTCTGCAGAAACAAGTTCCTTTTCAGGCAGTAGCATCCCCTTCAGTTTAGCTATGATATATGTCACCAATTATTTAGTTGCTCATTAGACCACCTGTTAACAGAAATCATGGGACCTACAACCTAATACCTCATGACAGATGGATTCACATAAGCAAAATGTACTTTTTCTCAAGTGACATCCATGCAAAAATTTAAAAAGAATTCTAAAAACACTTACCAAGTTACACTTCTCATCATGCTTGTACTGGCATGAGGTATGGAAGCTTGTCCCTTCATTCACATTGCAAACATATGTGCACATTATAAAAATAAGTAAATAATCTGCCAATCTTTCACTTATTTCTTCTAACTTTTCCATTCCAATATTCTAACTTTTCCACATATAGTGTTGTTTGTTCCATTTGAGGGAATGCTCTCACTGTGAATTTGCAGCACTTGATTTCAGTCAGGGGAAAAGGGTTTTAGTTAGCTAAATGCATACCCTTATTGTATAGCAGAAGATAAACTTACAGTGCTGATGAACTAATGTTGTCATCCTTGAAGGGTGTCGGAGAGATCGTCAAACCTGATGCCTTGGAGAGGGAAGGAGGGAAAGCAAATAGCTTTACCTGCTTCAAGCTTTCCTGGGGTTTTCTGGTGACAGAAAAAATGAGGATGTGTCAGTCTATGAGATACGATGGAAAACTCCCTTTTTAAGGTCTTTTTTTCTGAAGGACCTCCCTCTGCTTGGATTTAGCTTCCAAATTACATTAGGAGAAGAGTGGAGAAAACATCAAAAATTCCCAAGCCCCACATTTCATCCAGAGAACCTCTCTGAAGCTTTTGTGGAATTTCCTTGATGTGACTTTATATGATTTAAGACAATCAGTTAATTTCCTACCAGTTATTTTGCGAGAATCAAACATCTGGTTATTTTACAGATAAGGAAAATGGAAGCAGAAGAGTTAAGGCTTGTTTAAACATCCATACTTGTGAGCCTTAAAAATTATGCACAAGAAACAAATGGAGTTGCCTTTTCTTTTGAGAAACTTGAAAGTGATACAGGACAGTTTAGTCACTACTGTCTTGGAAAAGGTAGTGACAGTAGTCCACTTCCTTATAAAATGCTTTTTACAGCAGATATTCCCTTCTCACTGTTTTACTGCCTGATCGTCTATGGTAGTTTGTTTGACATACATGTGGCAGTTTGTTAACATTGCAATATGCTCACGTATCATAGGGAGCTTCTCCAAAATGTGAGGCATAACTGTAGAATACTGAATCCAGTGGCTATCAGTTTTCTTTTCTCCAGAATTAATATCTTATTACAATTTCCAAGTACACCTGAGTGAGCCTGTTGTTCTTGATATTGTATAAAGTGACAGTTGAGAGAAAACTGTATTGGCAGACATTTATTGAGCAAAATTACTCAACAAGAACCATCAAGGAACAATTATTCATAGTGAAACTCAACTATAATTTTATGGTACTCCAATAATAAGAAAAGTAACCATTAATTTTTTGTTTCCTCAGATAATGTATTTTTCCTTAT